AAAAAGGTAGTGGCTGCTTTTGTAGATCCAAGGGCGGCATTTGATTCAGTGGACAGGACGGTTTTGGGAAGATGTCTGAAAAAACCAGGGGTGAGTGAGAGGTTGGGAAAGAGAATCATGGAAATATACGAGAAAACAAGGAGTGCAGTGAGGGTGGAAAAAAGATACGGAAGGAAATTTTGGACAGCGGAGGGGTAAACGGAAAAATTGACAGAGCCAATCAGGATTTAAACTTGAAACCTTTCGTTTTAGATCCAAGGGCGGCATTTGATTCAGTGGACAGGAGGGTTTTGGGAAGATGTCTGAAAAAACCAGGGGTGAGTGAGAGGTTGGGAAAGAGAATCATGGAAATATACGAGAAAACAAGGAGTGTAGTGAGGATGGAGGAAAGATACGGAAGAAAATTTTGGACAGCGGAGGGGTAAACGGAAAAATTGACAGAGCCAATCAGGATTTAAACTTGAAACCTTTCGTTTTCTACCTTCGTAGTCTGTTACTGTGTGTTGCTTCACAATTGCTTTACCCCACATAGCAAAATGTTGGCAGTATGCCGACAGTATGCCAGTAAATTTACCTCATAATTTCGCAGCAAGATCTTCTTGTGCTGTGTTTTTTATTCTATCCTCTTTGATTTTTACTACCTTATAATCTGTTCTATCAATAAGTATGCCAGTTTACGTTGCATCTCTATTTTATATTTAAATATAAAACTGCATTATATATATGAGAAAAATAAAAAAAAAGAAAAATTTTAATAGTTTTAGGACGTTACAAACATGTAAAATAATCTAATATTATCAATAATATATTCACTATTATTTAAACTGTACAATTAGTAAAAAAGATTTGGGTAAATTTTATTTTTAATAATTGCTTTTGAATGATTCGTTTTTAGCATATTTTATATATAAAAATCAATAAATGTGTAAAGTAAGGGTTTTTACGTCTTTAATTATATAAGTAAATTATGTCCTCATCAGCATTAATAAAGTGCGGTGTTTAGTTTTCGAGAAATAAGGAGGTGTCGCTTTAGAGGACCTATGTCGATATTAGCGACTTACCTCTTCATTTCTAATAAAAATATAAAAAATGTACGGTTGTATATTCGTGAAATAAAATAAAAGCGCGCGCGTAGCGCGCGCCTGTGTTGTTCTAGTCCACTTTTAAAAAAGGCGTGTTACCTGAATGAATTTCGTTTGTATCGAAAAATTGAAGCCTCTTTTCCGCGATGCCGATTGGTTATCTCGATTGATTGCCGCGCCGTAGCTTGCTTCATCCCGTGAGAGACTGTCATCGCGGAGTGTGACGAGTTTCGTGCGTGTAGTGCGTCGTGTGTGTCGTGATGTGACAGCTCGCGTCGTGTCGCGAGGTTAATCGTCTCGCGTCGTGTCGTGATTATTATATAATAGCAAAATGTTAAAGCTAAATAGCGCGCGCGAAGCGCGCGTCTGTAGTGTCTAGTCCATTTTTAAAAAAGGCGTGTTACCTGAATGAATTTCGTTTGTATTGTAAAATTGAAGCCTCTTTTCCGCGATGCCGATTGGCTATCTTGATTGATTGCCGCGCCGTAGCTTGCTTCATCCCGTGAGGGACTGTCATCGCGGAGTGTGGCGAGTTTCGTGCGTGTAATGCGTCGTGTGTGTCATGATGTGACAGCTCGCGTCGTGTCGCGAGGTTAATCGTCCCGCGTCGTGTCGCGATTATTATATAATAGCATAATGTTAAAGCTAAATAGCGCGCGCGAAGCGCGCGCGTCTGTAGTGTCTAGTCTATAATAAAAAAATCCATGTAGACGCGAGAAGTTGGCCCGTGGTCGAGTTGTATTGTTGCCGCTTTTCTGCGTGCGTGATTGGCCGATGCGTGCGTGCGGTCGATATGATGCGGCGATCGAGATCGCGCTGCGCGTTTCGCGTGCGTGTATGTATGTATATACATATGTGTATGTGTCGTGTGATGTGACAGCTGGCATCGGTTGCGCGAGGTTAGTGGGATTATTTATATAAATATGTATGTGTCGTGTGATGTGACAGCTGGCATCGGTTGCGCGAGGTTAGTGGGATTATTTATATAAATATATATATAAATTATATTTTACATATTAATATATTTTAACGTCATTTGTAATGTTTCAATATTTATTGCTTGCTCGTACAAATCTAATCTGGTATACGTTACAGTAACTATAGATTTTTGATACAGATTTATCTTTGTAATTGTATATTTTATATATATATCGTATATTATATATAAGCAGACGTAAGTAATAATTACTGTTTTTGCATTTGCATTATGTAAAATTTGTCTTATTTCAGATATACCGATAAATTTAAAATATTCGAGAAGATATGATGGGATTAGCTATTGGTGCTCATGGTGCAAATATATTCAACAAGCGTGAAAAGTTGATGACATTACAAATATCGTTAGAAGAAAATTCATGCACATTTAAGATATAATATAGAGAGGTAATTATAAAAATTATATTATTGCTTGTATTATTTCAAAGAGTATTGTTTTATAAAAGTTTACTGACTGTTTTTATCTAAAATGTATGTACATATTCGTATATGTATATGTTGCATTATATTGAGCTGGTACTTATCAGATTTCTTTCTCAATCACAGACGCATGAAGCTGTTAAAAAAGACTGATTTATGCTGGAATACAGCGATAACCTAGAAATAAATAGATAGTGACAGTCGTGACCATCGCCGCGTGATAGATATAGGGTGCGTTCGGGGAGACGCTATTAGCGCTACCTAGCGCTACTGGCTCGCGGAGCTCTATGATAGCGCTACTAAACGCTATCGTGACGTCATTACTGGTAGTGTTATACGTCATAACTGCTCGCTACCAACGCTCTTCCTTCCGAGGTAGTGCATTAATAGCGTTAGCGTTTACAGGCTCTATGAACAGCGCAA